ACTTAACACGATTATTTTGGCTTCCATGGGCTTATGTCAGTGTAGATCCTTCTAGACAAGGGGTCGTAGGCAATACTTAACACGATTATTTTGGTTTCCATGGGTTTATGTCGGTGTACATCGTTCTAGACAAGGGGTGTTATAGGCAATACTTGACACGTCTATTCTGGTCTTACTGTGTTCAGGCTATATATGTAGGGTTGCAAGAGGCTTCGAGGTAGATCCTGAGGGGTGGGGAGGGGGGGGGGGATACGTATATGAGGACGTGTATATATGTTGCGATTATGTTGTATTTGAAAGATGACCTATATATACAGAAACCGAACAATTCTTCATGGGAGACTTGTATAGACTCTACACTTTCGTGCTGCGTGTTTCTGTGGTTGCTTTGCCGCGAGGTGCCTCGAGGCTTCATCCCGCAGCCACCCTCGAATCGTGCTGTGCAGAGGCGGAGCGGAAGGGTGCATGCACGCAGTGAAGTCGCAGCTTTGTCACAAACCTCGACAGAAAGGAACTGAAGGATATGAGGAAGTTTATGAACAGTCATGTCCAGTGCAGTGCAGGTACAAATATGTCAGAGTAGATGGAAATCGGCCAGAGCATACAGTTGTGCATGTATCTGGACAATGTTTGCAGACTGAGAAGCCGGCCCCGATGATCCATGCTTGTTGTGCTGAGTACGTGGACATGTGGTTTTAGGGTTTATAGGGTTTATTTACGGTGTACTTTGACGAAAGTGCAGTGTGGTTTCTACGTAGAGATGCATGCTACAGTATGTATATATATATATATATATCTATATATACATATATATATATATATATATTTGCAGAGTTGGTTGTGTATGCCTTTTGCAACTATATACATGCCAACATAAACCTTGCAATGCAGCAGGCATCCAGCGGGTCGCTGCATTGGTTTGGCAGGGTGTATATATATATATATACACTCGCCAACCACATTGCCAGTCGTGCAATTGTATTGAGGCCCGAGTCTATACAGAGGGCAGGCGTTGCCGGAACCGGTGCTGCAGCCATGGCAACCACGCATGAGGACCTGATGAAGACCACAACGGCCTTATGCAAGTGGCTCACAGAGCAGAAGAATTCCCTCGATGACAATGTGTTCAAAGAGGTTCTGGACACCCAGCACAAGACACTGTGCGAGCAGATTCGTGCACTGGGATCCATCACCCCGGAGCAGGCCACCGGCATCAGCAAGGCTTTCAATTCTGGCCCCTGGTCGAGCGCCCAGAAGGAATCCATGACCATGCTGATCTCAAACACGATGGCCAGCCCAACGGTAAAGAGGACACGACGCGAGAATCAGTCCATGGAGACTTTCAGCCAGTACTTCTCGAAAAAGGACCTCGAGGTGTTGGGCGACAGATCCAAGTCGATGCACGAGAAGGTCGACATCGTGGCATCGCGTCTGGTGAAGGTTCAGCTCTGGCTTCCAAGCGAGCAGACGATCAAACTCGTGATGCAAGCAGCGGTGGCAGCAGGGTTCACCCACCAGGAGGACGAGAGGATTGGCATCGTTCGCAGCATCAAGAATGCAGTGAAACAAAGAACGAAATCTAAGCCCAAATCGCTGCAGCTTCCGACCCCGATGCCAAACAACCCGAACCAGCTGCCGGCGGAGATCTACGAGGCTGCGTATCCGGAGGGTGACCCCCCGGTTGCTTTGCCAGAAGGCCAATGCCTGGCAGTATCCATGTTTGTCCGAGGATCACACAACAGCTCGAAAAGGGATTCGATGGCATTGGTGCCTGCCTCATCGTCGGGGTCACGCGGCAACTTCGGCAACATGTCGCCGGAGCAGCTCGCCCAAGTCGTCCAAGCCGTCAATCTGGCTAACCAGCGCAGAGGCAGGAGCAGGCGGCACGAGGAAGACGACGAGGTTGAGTTGCCCGGGTTAAAGATTCTCCAGCCGAAGAAAGCGAAAGGAGCCCCATCGGCCCCATCGGCCCCACCCGCCGCAACCGAGGCAGAACAAGCGGACGAAGAGGATACCCAGGAGTCGATGGCCAAGTCCAACCCGTCCCCTGCAAAGTCTCCCGCTTTGTTCGTCCCTCCTCCCCTCGTGAACGCCATCGAGGACAAGCCTATCAATAATCCGCCGGCCGAGGACCCAGAGAAGATCGCAAAGGTCTACGAGGAGGCGAACGAGGAGAGAAAAGGCCCCGTGCACAAGAGGCCCTCAACGAACTCCAAACCGAAGGCGAAGGCTAAGCCACCGCCTAAGCCTAAGGTTAAGGCCCAGGCATCCAAGGCGAAAGCCAAAGCCAAGCAGTCCGATTGGCGGAAAGGGAAAGGCGGATGGCAAGTCGAAACTCGCCATCGAGGAGACGGTCAAACCGACAAGTACTATTATAGCCCGGATGGCTGCCGATTCAGGATCAGGACTGAAGCCATCGCTCATGGATATGTAGAGTGAGCTGCAGTGGCATGCATGAGAGGCAGCCGAAGAGCTCGTATAGGTTGAAGGTTTAAGGGTACATATATAGACACGGTTCAAGGATTATCGGGTTTAAGGATTGGGGTTTGAGGATTCGGGTTTGACGATTAATTCAGTTTTATCACGAAATTAAGTGGGTTTAAAGATTGGGGTTTCAGGATTGGGGTCTGAGGATTAATTAAGTTTTATCGCGTAATTAAGTGTGTCGCCCCTCCTGTTTACGTGTTTCTAGGTTTACATATGTTATATGGTCGTTGAGTCGTTGAGGCACTGCTATTTATGTAAACACCTATATATGAAACAAGCTTGGAATATCCTGGTATAAAGCTCTTTCGAGCATTTTGCGGCACGTGCCCCTCCTCTGCAATGTAGCTCCAGATGCTGTAGTTTCTTTCGGCCCGGCTTGGTCGTTTCAGAGACTGCTGTACAAGACCGCGAAGTTTGGCAACTGCAAAAGTTTAATGGCCATGTTCCTGCAGGTTCTGCATTTCTTGTCTGCAAGTTTGGAGTGGATGCTTTCTTTTATGAAGCCTTTGACTTGTTGCAGGTGATGGAAGTTGACGCATGCGCCCGGCAGCCGCCTTGGCATCAAGGCTTATGTGTCTGCACATGGGATCGTTTCACATATCTTCTATAACCGCTACACATCGATGTATGATGTATCTTGTTCATGGTTTCCTAATATATATATATATATATATATATATATATATATATTTAGTTATTGCAATCCATTGCGGGCTGGAAGAATCGTCAGGGTGGATGTCGGTGTCGAAGCAATGTTTTTTTTGTACATATATAAATAAATAAATATATATATATATATATATACAATGCTTGTCTATAGAAAGGTATGTTTGAAGCTTAGAACATATATTTACACATGATACATATGGACGTTCCTTGTTTGTATTTTTGTGACTCAGCCTTGAACGGATGGTGTGTCATGAAACTTCTGGTTGCAGGAGCTGGAACTAAATGCCCAAGCACCCGGACACCGGCTTGGCATGAAGGCTCATATATGCCTGGAATATTCGCACTGCAGGCACTGCATGGTTCCATGCATGACGTAGCTGTTCATGGTATGTGTCTCGAGTGCCTCGCAAGATGTATATATATATATATATATATATATTTATTGAAATGGTGCAAGAAATATCGTGGGTGCCGGAGTCATCTATGTACCCATTTATCGATGCATACAGAACATGTAGGTTTGTCTTATTCTTCTTATATAGGTCTTTATATGTACCTATGTTTCGAGCCTTGTCCATGAATGGTGTGGTGACCATGCCGTGGTTTATATTCTGGATGATTGCATGCATGTGCACCGAGCATTGGTTGAAGGTGCATGTTTGTGAATTAAACCGTGAAGGAATCAGGTTTATGGGATACGTGTGTATCTGTATATGTGTATATATATATATATATATATAAACCTATAGATATGTATGTAGATATGCATATATATATATATGTGCATATCTGTATATAGACATATCTGAATGTATATATATATATATATGTATGTATGTAAATAAATCAGTATATATATATATATACATATGAATATCTCAAACCAAGCCTTGCGGCTCCTCGGACCTTTTGGCAAAGCCGCTTAGCGGCTCCTTTTGCCCATCTCGCTAGTTCGAGCCTTGCAACCTAATTAAGCTGCGAACAACCTCTGAATGCGTGCAAAGCAAATATGAATATGTATATGTATATGTACATGTATATGTACATGTACATGTACATGTACATGTATATGTATATGTATATGTATATGTATATGTATATGTATATGTATATGTATATGTATATGTATATGTATATGTATATGTATGTATTTGTGTATATATGTACATATATGTATACATGTTTTTATGTATGTATGTATATGTATATATATATATATGTATATATGTATATGTGTATATGTGTGTATATGTACACATGTATACTTGTATACTTGTATATATGTATATAAGTCTATATGTGTATATGTGTATATGTATATATGTATATATGTATATGTGTGTATATGTATGCATATGTATCTATATATATATATATATATGTATATATATATATATATGTATATATAAATAAATAAATATATATATATATATATACATACATACATATATACACATGAACATGTGCATATTAGAACTTGGTTCTGTGCAGCTGCAGATATCTTTGCTCACAGGTTCCTCTGGGCCCTTGTGTAAAGCAGCATTTGTAACAAATTACTTCTATATGTGTCATAGACCTGAAATTCGAAATGTATGTATATGTGTGTATACCTATATGTGTAGGTTTATGTACATAAGTATATAGGTATGCAGACATGCCTGTATGTATGTAGGTGTGTTTCTTAGCTTGCAGATATGCACCAATGAAAATGCAAATAACCCACGGAAACCGACAGTATCGTAGGATGTCAAGATATACTATATACATCCACAGACAGCGTTACACAGGCAGGTTCCAACAAGGAATCGCCTGTGTTTTGTTGCAGGGCTTAAATAGCTCGCATCATGGCCGCCGAAAGACTGCTGACGGCGCAGCGGAAATCCTTTGTGTCACAACGAGCTTTGGCTGAAATTTTGAGCATTGTTAAAGACGAAGATGAACAGCACCTGGCTACGTCGAGAACAACGCTCAAGCGCAAAAGAGAGCGGGACCTGCGCATGGACACACCGTACGGGCCACTGTGGCGAACGATGACTGGGTTCGTGACTTAGATTGTGCACGGGGAACTTTAAATCTTTGTTTGGGCTTACATATTCGCTTTATACCTTAGAATATTCGATCTTTTGGGGGTCCATGTTGTTGAAAAAAAGAGGTGATGGAAAAGGGCAAGCCCTTGACAGTGTCCTACTTAGACCCGGCTGCCCTGCTGTGGGCCGTGTGCCGGGAAGGCGGAGGTTTCGCCGAGTTTCTGGAAGAGCGAAACGGCCTTCATCCGAGCGCTCCGTCCCAGCCCTGGTCCCTGTGCTTGTATGTAGACGAGGTTTCGCCAGGGAACCAGCTGAAACCCTCGAATGAGAGGAAGCTTCAGGTGATCTACATGTCTCTGAAGCAACTCGGGGGGTTGGCGCTTTCGAAAGAGGACAGCTGGCTGTTGGTAAGTTGCATCCGATCCGTGGATGTCAAGAGATGTGCCAACGGCATGGCACAAGTCATGAAGCGCTTCCTGGAGGTTTTCCTGGTTGCGCGACATGACTTGTTGCACTACGGCCTTCTGCTGCCTCTGAAGAACGGTGCTAACGTGACGCTGTGCTGCAAGCTGGGAACCTTGGCGAACGGATGTACTTTTCTTATTCAACATGTTTATGCTTCCGATTGAGGTTTAACCTGCTTACTGACTTCATGTCTGTATTTGTATGTATGACTATATGTGTGTCTTCTGTCTATATATGTATGTCTCTATGTATGTATATGTGTTCCCAACAAAATGCAGAAAAATACCAGAGGTCTTATCATCGCAGATGAGCTGGCCTTGAAACAGCTTTGGGAGGACAAGGGCGCTGGAGGAAACAAGCTGTGCTTCAAATGCACAAACGTGGTCTCCGAATCCTCTGATCTACACAACCATGATCGAGCAGGTGTTCTTATGAGCCATGCCAACCCTGACAAGAATAGGATGATCCTGCAAACCGACAGCGGCATGCTGGACGCTGCAAAGCATCTGGCCGAACAGCAACCTTTGCTCAACAAAGGGCAGTTTAAGACCCGCGAAATGGCCCTGGGCTTGAACTACGTTCCGCGTGGTTGTCTATATTCGGAGAGTCTTCGGGACAAGCTCAAGCCGATCTCGCTTTCTATGTTTGACTGGATGCATTGCTTCCTAGTTGGAGGGGTGATGCAAACTGAAATGAACTTGTTGCGAGACTTGCTGAAGAAGGAATCTATAGGACCAGAGCAGATGTGCCCCGGCTGTCCATTAACAGCCGTGTCGGATTGTTTGCGTTTCTTTCTGGAAAAAGAGTTCTTCTGAGTTCTTGTGTAAGCATGGGATGTAGACTGTATTGCAAGATATACAACATATGTATACATACGTATATATGTTAACCATCAGAACTATATGCTTGCAGTACATTTTCTGAACTCCATCCATGGGTGCACATGCATGCAGGCACAACTTCTTTCAAGTTTGCGAGTGGCCGGCATACATTGGTGGACGGAGTGTGTCGGGCAAGAACTTGTTCCAGAAGATGGAGAAGAAGGATCAAGAGTTCAAGTGCTCGGCATCCGAGGGGCTTGCGTTCTACCCTGTCATGCAGTCCTTTTTGCAGCGGCGCCTGCCTGGCATTGCATCTCAAGAGTGTCGAGAAGCCATCCAAAGTTTTTTCTTTCTTTGCGATGTTTTGGATTCACTGCAGCTGAGCGCCACTGGGCGTGTTGCTGCCGACGACTTGGAAGAGAAAATTTGCAGGCACATGCGCAAATATGTGGAGGTGTACGGTGCAGAAAAAGTGCTCCCCAAGGGACACTATGCCCTCCATCTTGCGGATTCGCTCCGCCATCATCAGATTCTTCTTTCATGCTTCGTGCACGAGAGACGCCACAGATCCGTCAAACAAATCGCAGACCAGCTGGACTCGACTCTATGAAGGCCGGTTCCGAAGAGCATGTCATGCAAGTGGCTGTGGAGAACCATCTCAACAACCTGCGAACCTATTCTGTGGGTCGCAAAGGGCTGGTTACACCGCGGTCTGCTGCTGTTCCAGTGCAGCAAGCATTTTGCCACTGCTTTGGTTTGGACGAATGCCTTGGCTTGGAAAGCTGCAACGAAGCGGCCGTGGGACAGGGCCGCATTTGCAAGCGAGGGGATGTAGTGGTGGCCCTTGTCGACGGTACATTGACAGTGGCACAAGTATGGTTTCATGTGTCCTTTTGCGGCCATGGCTACACATGCCTTTCCTCGTGGAGGAACTTGGGGAATAACATGTTTCGGATGGACAACAGCAGGCCACTCTTTGTGCCTACCCAGGACATATCTTCTCTTTGCATTCACCGCCCTGAAGGCGACGATGCCTTGGTCATTCCTTTAAAAGGCCCTCTATAGGAAACACCGTCTGCAGGGCATTCCGCTCGCAGACGGGTCTGCAGGAGCATATGTGCTTCGCGGACATGCAGAGCCGCCCATGATGTATGTGATCGACACGTTATGTCATTTCTTTTTTAAGCCCATGCAGCCGCTTCGAGGGAAGTATGTGCACGGATCATGCTGTGAAAAAATGAACGTTGCATGGTCGTCAAAAACCTTGTCACCTTCAAAATAGGCCATGCTTTAAAGGCCACCTTCAACCTTGTATGTATGCCCCCGCAAAACCCAAGCCTTCGATAAACGTTCCCGTGTTAAGGCCGCCTTCAACCTTGTATGTACACGCATCCCCGCAAAATCCAAACCTTCGATAAACGTTCCCGTGCCCTTGCAAGCAAAAAACCCTCACAACTCGAAGCCTTGCATGCTGTCTCCTGCGTGCAAGCCCATCAAATCTCAAGTGAAACCTGCAAACCCATGTACGTCAGCGAAGCCTCGTATATAATGTATTCTTTTCTGACGTTGAGCATCGCCCTGTCGCAGGCTGCCGCCTATGTCGTCTACTACTTGGAGTCGCTGCTTTCGGGGTTTTTCTTGTGGTGTTCTGAAACGTTTTGATATTATGCATGTATATATGTATAAGTATATAGTAATATTGGGGCCTTGGAAGTGGTTTCCGTAGTCCCAAACACTCCCCATGTTGCAGGCCCCTGAACCTACTTAGCCTACTTACGGAAATGTACTTATCCTACTTATGTAAATGCACTTATCCTACTTATGTAAGTGCGCTTATCCTACTTATGTAAGTCCTCTAAGTCCTACTTATCCTACTTATGTAAGTGCAACCCTAAGTGACTTATGCCACTTTGTAAGTCCGCCGTATCCCACTTAATAACCACAACATAAGTAGATCTTAACTCACTTAGTCCGTGCTCTCCGTAACTCACTTAGTCTTCACTTTTATAAGTCCAACCTAAGTCCATCATCCACTTACTAAGTCCAGCAACCACTTATAAGCAGAGCGATCCTCCAAGTAGGGTTTAGGATGGTTTAGGGTTTAGGATGGTTTAGGGTTTAGGATGGTTTAGGGTGTAGGATGGATTAGGGTTTAGGATGGTTTAGGGTAGTATGGTTTAGGGTTTAGCATGGATTAGGGTGTAGGATGGTTTGGGGTTTGGGGTTTTGGGTTTAGGGTTTGGGGTTTAGGGTTTCGGGTTTGGTGTTTAGGGCTTAGTGTAAATGTCATACATCAGGGGTTTTATAGAGGGTTCAGGGTTTAGGGTCCGCTGGTAAGTGGCTTTAGAAAGGGGGGCAGGGGGTGGATCTACATGACGGATCATCGGACGTCGCATTTGGAGCATGTATGTAAGGTTTGTACTCGATAGCAGCCCAACCCCCTAAACCTGAAGCCTACAAACCGCAAATCCCTAAACCCGGAAACACCAATGCCTTGAACCGCAACAAGAGCTGTAAACAGCAAACACCAAACGCCTAAACCCTAACCCCCAAGCCCTAAACCCCTAAACCCTAAACCTTAAACCCTGAACCCTGATCCTGAACCCCAAACCCAACGGATTCCCCTCCAAAGAAAACCCACAGACTGGTGGATACCCCAGTTCTCGAAGATCTAAACCCCAAACCCCTAAACCCCCTAAACCCCTAAACCCCCAAACCCCAAACCCCTAAACCCCTAAACCCTATACCCTAGACCCTAAACCCTAAACCTAAAACCCTTAAACTGCTTATGCCAGAACACGACTGCCGTGGAGACCCGGATCTTGAAAAATGGGACATCGCTACGCGCGAGCGGGGGGCCTTGGGGCGTCGTGGCCGGGGGGTTTTGGAGGTTTCAAGGGTGCAGCCCATGGGTCGGGACCCCTTAAAGCATCAGGGCTCCTTATCTTATCCATAGGATAATATACTCCCCCCAAATGCAAAAAAAAGTTTAACAAAAAGCGACTTACCCATTGGGGTTTGGAAGTTGAGGTGTGGGAGGGCGGGTGGGGGGGGTTGGGGGGGTTTAGGTTTCATAGCAGGCCAGGCTCTACAAAGACATTCAGTCGGAATCAAGCGCCGCCCTGCCTTCCTTGCATCCGTCCGGAGGATGAAGCGGGATTTGGTTCGCAGGATGGCTTTCCACATTTGATAGTGTTTGAGGATTTCATAGGTTCTTACACAATTCTCTAGTGGTTGTTTGTTGGTGCAGGTTTCAGAGGATTTCGAAAGGCAGTCAGGTGAAGTTACCATACTATCAGCCCATCTCAGTTATGGTGGCCTCAACGAGGTTCTGAACCCTAAACCCTAAAGCCCGCACCCAACCGCCTTGTTTCTCAATCCCAGCGCTTTCGGGGCTTCGGGTTTTGGGGTTGGGTTCAGGGTGTAAGGCTTAGCCCGTGACGTTTCGATTTGGCACCTAGAGTTGAGAGTTTGCTAAGCATTAAACTGGCCCTAATCTCTCAAACACGCTGGAGCACTGTCGGGTGGCTAAAGGCCGACGTTGGACATGACGACAGAGGCTTCGCGATGTAAGCAGAGTCCGTCTCGAGGTGACGAGGATATCACGGTGGCAGAGCGCGTATGTGAAAACGTTGGGGCATGTCCACATTCAATAAACGATTGAGTGTGTTTGTCGATACTGTCGAGGTCTTGCATCTTCATTGAGGTAAAGGCACCACAGGGGAAAAAGGGGTTCAAAAAAAAAACCGAAAGCTTAAACTCTAAACCCCCCTAAACCCCCTAAGCCCCCTAAAGCCCTAAAGGGCTGAAACCCTAAAGCCCCTAAGCCTTAAATCCTACAGCTCTAAACTCGCAACCATAGACCTTGGGCTTGAAGGTTTGCGCCTTTCCCGGGTTTGCTGCAGAGGTTCTGCTGCTTGAAGACGGGCATCGTCAACTCCTGAGCGGGCTCAGGGTGTACCCGGAAAGCTTAGTACCACGGTTTAGGGTTTAAGGGTTTAGGGTTTTTTGGATGAAGGAATAGTTAGGGTTTCAGGGTTGGAGAGCTTCATACCCCTTAATTAAGGAATAGATTCTGAAATACTGGGTACTTCAAAGATCATCAGACTTATTAACTAGGGTTCTGAATCAGTAATTATATTCATAATGCAGATACCTAGAACATCACTTGCTAAGTCCCGTGCTTCTCCAAGATGAGGATCTGAGTTGATATGATGGGGTTCCGAGACGCATCACTGACGGTTTTTGATTTCCCCAGGAAACAGTGCACGGTTTCGATTTACAGCTTCAAGGTTTAGAGTCAGCGGGTGTAGCCACGCGTCAGCTTCTTTTAAAAAGCAGTT